GCTATTCAAATAGTTGAGATGAAGGCCAGAACTACTCTTCTGCTCACTCATACAAACTTACAGACATTAGTTATAGTTATGACTTATGTTGCAACTCAGATGATTACCTACTTATGAGTTGAAAAAGTTAATGAAACTATACATCAAGAACTTTCCAACAAAGAATATGGACATTTTAAATGTCCATACAATGTCCTACCCTACAATACCCTGGAAAACCTCCACCCAAAATAAATCAAATTGCCCCCATTTAAAAATTAAAGACAGAAACCACAGAGCTGCTACAACAGTCAGGGAAATAGGGACTCATAAGAATCACAGAATCCTTTAGGTTGGGAGAGACCTCCAAGATCATCGGGTCCAACCACCAAGCCAACACTACTCAGTCCTCTGCAAAAATGGAATCAGAATCTGTCAGGGTTGGAAGGGACCACAAGGATCACCCAGTTCCAGCCCCTCTGCCATGAGCAGGGACACCGCCCACTAGATCAGGCTGTCTAGAGTCTCATCCAGCCTGGCCTTAAAGACCCCCGGGGATGGGGCCTCAACCACCTCGCTGGGCAACCCATTCCAGGGTCTCACCTCTCTCATGGTGAAGCACTTCTTCCTCATGTCTAGCCTGAATCTGCCCACTTCCAGCTTTGCCCCATTCCCTCTAGTTCTGCTGTTACTCGATATCCTAAAAAGTCCCTCCCCAGCTTTCTTGTAGGCCCCTCTAAGATACTGGAAGGCCACAATAAGGTCACCTTGGAGCCTTCTCTTCTCCAGACTGAACAGCCCCAACTCTCTCAGTCTGTCCTCACAGGAGAGCTGCTCCAGCCCTCGGATCATTCTCGTGGCCCTTCTCTGGACACGCTCCAGCAGGTCCACGTCCCTCTTGTAATGGGGGCTCCAGAACTGGATGCAGGACTCCAGGTGGAAGAAGACAGCAACCTTCCCAGCCTCATTATGAATAATTAAAAGCACTTGGCTTGTTTACATTAATAAAACTAAGCTGAAGAAGAGACATAATTGCTTGCTATAAAGGCACTAGAAGAAGGCTAATCACAGAATAAAAGAATAAAAACTAGCATAATAAAAGTTTAGGTTAAAATCTTTTTGACCATCAAAGGAAGGTAATACTTGAACCAGTTGGTCAGTAAGACATGTCAAGACAACCCCACGCCCCCACCCCCATGTTTAAAAAGAGACTTGAAATTAATACATGGTATTCTATATTGTGGTTCCCTGTGAGGGTAAAGGAACAGGTTCAAGATTTCTTGAATGTCCTCTACCATGTAACAGGTCCTATTTCCTAAGGAATGAAAGACAAGGATGGTTTTTGAAAGAAAAAATTCCTGTTACTTCTGCTTGTTTTGTAGAACATTTTGGAAGAAAGACTGTGGTGGACGCCTAACTTTTATTTTAGATTTACTGTTTATTTGTAAGGAGACTTAAGACAGAATAAACTCCTCAGATTTAATTAATTGAATTGAGTCCATTAAATGAGTCCATTCACTGAAACAAATTGAACTGAGGTTTCTTTGTAGTGTTTTATGTGCTTATGAGAAGATTATATGCAGCATGAGGTGGACTGTGAAAGTGCTGGAAAATGTTGAATATTTTCTGTTTGCACCAATAATTTCAGAAGCTACTCTGACTATGAGAAGGCATTATGGACTTCAGTGTGAAAAGATGATCCTTTCTTGGAATTACTAGACATGCCCAAAACTCCTCTCTTTTGAAGTCTTCACTCGCATCAGAAATGAGACTCAACTCCATCACCAAGAGGACACTGATTATTTCCAAATGGTCCTGTGTCTAGCCGGGATATTTGCTTCTGGAGAAGACTAGAAACAAGCAAATGTAGGGTGTCTCCAAAACACACATGCCTGCCTCCATAGCAAGAAAAGTAGCACATGGACATAAACTCTTTGGGGGGCACACAGTATTTTGTAAAATTATTTCAATAGTCCTATTTACAGTCTACTTTGATGACAGCCACAAGCTGTCTGACAAGTCAGCTTTTCAGCATCAACCCTCACATCATTCCAAAAAGCCCACATTTGTGGTTAATTTTAAATTCTGATTAATCCCTGAAGTCCAGGTAATTCATAGCAGTCCATCACCAACTCACTTTCCACGCCTCTCGTGTTTTCACTCACCTACAGCTAAGTCATTAAATTTAAACACCTGGTATCAGCATTTCCTAACTCTACCACTCTTGAAAATTGTCTCCTCTTCCTTTAACATCCTGAGTATTTACTGTTTCTAAAGTAGAAGACAGACTTTTGGAGCAACAGCCTAATACTTCTGCAGGTATAGATACATTCTTCCTATTCTTAGACACTGATATACAGCTGAAAAACTACTCTAAAATGGCAAGGCTGGAAAGTGAAGCTCTGCTAAACAGGCAATGTAGACAGGGAATATGAAAAGCCATCCTTAATACAGAAAGTCTACATTAAGCCTTAGCAGAAAACCATGTTTGAAGGGAGACAACAAAGGTGAGCCAAATCCAAATGTCAGGCCAAATCCAAAAAGGTTTTCAAGAAATTGAGTCACATGAGCTTTCTATTTTTCATCCCTTTCCTAGGTTTAGAGACAGGTTCAGTTGCTTTGCATGACCATAAGGAAAAAATTTAGCACCTTTCTATACTTTTACACATGGCCATCTTATTTAACAACAATGGAAAAAGAGAGAGCCCAGAGGAATTTAAAGTCCAGGATCGGTAAAAACATCTTTTCACCTCCCTTAAAACTCAACTAGGAAGGCACAGGTTGCTCTATACATTAACTAGGAAGGTTATGATGTGCCTCCTGGGAAGCACCAATTCAAAACTCATTTCCAGTTGTGCATGCTTCACATGCAGAATTAGAACCTTTGTCAAGTGCAGTGAGCCATATCTTCAAGAAATTCCTACCAAAATAAATCCTGAAATCAGGAAGCTGGACATAATTATTCTCCCCTTTCTCTCCCTTCCCCTTCTCTTTTATGGCCCTGTGCAGACAACCTGCACCAAGATGCCAAGGATATGAAGCTCGGAACTGCTTCTTAAGCACATGATGTACAAACAAACATTCGTTGTTTACCGACAATTTCAAATGCTTAACTGTGTTACTGCATAAATCGCTTCTCTTACAAGAATTACACCAATTATGAGACATGCTTTTCCCCAAACTGACGTTTTTGCAGTGCTATAATCTTTGCAGAAGTTGATAGACTTCGGGGGAAGACAACTACTTCAACTTTCCACAAGGTGGCATGGTTCCCTTTGCTGAAAGACAGCATTATTCAGTGCCATTGAGGAAATTTAATTTTTTCATTGATTTTTTTTTTTTTCCAAACATACTGGCCAGTGTAACGAATAGTTTTAAACAGGTTTAAGATCTCTAAAACATCTCTTACAAGGTTCATTTTAACAAATTCTTCCAAAAGAGAGCTCAACGAGTTAAAAAAAGCTTCATTCTCATCTGTGGAAATGAAGAAACGTGTCTGTTCTCACTGCCACGCAAAGGCAAGCTTCAATAAAATATAGTTAAGGCATGTCATGTGGCAGAGGGGCTAAAAAAAGCCTAAGGGGCTAAAAAAATCTTATTTTCTAAGTCTCAGGTCATCAGCTTCAAATCCTAACAAACTTCTTTCAGTCTTGTAATATTTTAGGCAAAATGGCCTAGCAAGGAATCCACCTACCACATTCCCTTCCCATTCATCTGGAAGATCCCAGAACATTTTCTGGGAAGTGAGGGAAGGTAGATGATGACACACAAATTATTTGTCCATGCAAATACTGCCCCTGTTCTCCGTGTAGGGGTGGCTCCTAATTCTCAGTGCAAATCACCTGGTAAAGAGTCAGACGTATCAAAATACTGCTTCCCTACGAAGCTTCCCATACTATAATGCTTATCATGAAAGGAACATGAAGCCTTCTGGTTCTGAGGACTGGTACCTAATGCCCATCACTCCTCCAACTCATTTACTGTGCTCAGAATTTAGTGCTTGTCACAGTAACAAGCACAGCTGAAATTCCTGCTTTTAACTGCCAGCCTGCCAGGCAAAACACATTTATTCACATTTGATTTAAACATCACAAGCCAAATAATCAAGATGACAAAGAAGTTTAAGTACCCTGATCAGTCTGTTTTGTCTCCTAAAATATATAATTAATGCTATTATAATTATTAACTCTGTCACATACTGTCTTCCTGCATATAAGTAGCTCCTGGATCCTGTCAGTCACTGCAGGGGTATGGCACAGTCAAAACACTTGTATAAATTACTTGGATTTCCAATTATAGAGTTCACATACATCCTTAAAAATGGAAGCAAGCACAAGGCAAAACTATCAGCAAGACAAATCTGGAGATATGCATATAAGCATTCAAAACCTCCTGCTGCTTCTTTCTCCTCAAAAACCTTAGATTATAACAATAAAGGCTCCAATTTAATTATGGTGCTTGTTCACATAATAGTCTCGATTTTCTCCATGTATTTTATCCTTAAACTAGGTTGCATTCTCTGTTCTAAAACACAAAGTTCCTTTTTAAAGGAGGTTACTAGAAAGCAACTTCCTTGTCACTAGCTACCAGTTCAAACAGCCACATAAGGAAGAGTACTTAAAAATGGGACCAACTCAATAATAAAGAGCAAATTCTGTCACTAAATGCCCCAGGAAGCTATCCAGCCATGACAAACAACAAAGCCTCCTGTCTCACTTGGGACAGGAAACTCAGTTGTGCAAGGGTTCAGTATTACAGTTGGACAGTAAAATCTTGAGCTGTAAATTTAAATTTGTTTGCTTCTGTGATTTTAAGATAAGTCACACTTTCCTGACCAAACTGAGTGAAGCCTTCAATCTACAAACTCCTTTAATGGAATTAGTCTTGCATGGTCAATCAACATTATGCCAAGAGGAAAAGTACAGTTGATGTCAAAACTTAGGAGACATTTTGCACTGTGCAAATTATGTTTACAATTGCAAATTGTTAATCGCTATCCCACTGTGGATATTCTTACAGACCTTGGCTTCTGGATCACTGTTGATGCTACAAGAATCATCATCATCAGACTGTGGGCCATTTCTGTCACAGGAAAAAAAAAAAAAAAAGATAAAATTAACCTTAAAATCATACAAAAAATTACAGCACAGCACATAAACAGATCTATTCATTCCACAGAGACTTCTGAAGTCATTGTACCTGAGCTTCAAAGAGGCATAGCGTAATGTTGCTCCTTCAAACTCCTTCAGACTTGGGTCTGGGTTCACAGTGGCTGCATGCAGATCCTAGAGATAAAGGCAGTGCTATTAATACACTATTAAGTACAGCACCGTGTTATTGCTTATTTCAAAGGGAAATGAAATCCTCCCTGCAAAGAAGCGATAGTATTTCTGGCTGAAGTTGAAAAGAGGCATGCATATATTCTCAAGCTGCGTTTCATTCAGTGCAGGCATCTCAGTCGTTACGTCATGGCAGTTGCCCTGCTAGTTTAGACTGAATCCATTCCAAGTGGAAAGATCAGAAAAGGCAGCATGTTTGTGAGCTAGACATCCCTAGCAGTGCCCCCATTCACTTTGGCCTAGGTTATGAATGACATTAATGGAAAAATAAAAGGGGAAAAACACAGCCACTGCCATGCAAAAACCAAGGGTAGTATAATAGTATTAAAGGTTCTAAAGTCTGACAATATACTTGCCTTCCAAATGTCACTATTAATCTTTCCCCCATTCAGTACAGCAAAATCACTCCATGGCTGTTTCTAGACACATAATTATTCACACAGGAAGAAGCACATTGATAAAAAAAAAAAAAAAAGAAAGAAAAAAGAAAAAAAAAAAAAAAACACAAGACACTGTTGTTAGCATTGATATTTACAGGATGGGTTAGGGAACAGATCATCTCAAAGTTCAACTAATTACTCCACTATACCATGGCATTTGGAGGAAAGGGGAGAGGAGACATGCCTCTAACAGTTACTTACCAAAACAAATGATTAAAACAAGGAAAGTTAATATAAATTAGGAACAGACAATGAAATTACTCTATGATCTTAAAAGCAAGCAAAATGAATCTGCATATGAATGTTGGCCACAGCTGCTACAGCCTTTGATAATCAGCAATTATGAGAAAACATCATGATTTTCATTTGATTGGCACTTTTGTTAAAAGGCCCTAACACTATTTGAACTAGAAATACTGAAACACATACATACAAGGGTAAGATACATACAAGGTAAAAATCAAGGATTTCTAGAAAGAAAGCAGGAGAAAAGGACAGGGAAGGGAAGGAGGATTAGTAAGGAGTGCAGAGAAATTTCTTGCTGAAAAAGCGGGTTTGTGAAGTCTAGCAGCTCTTTTAAAAAACAGAACAAAACAAACAAACAAACCACCCACCCTCTCATTTTTCATTCAAGTTTCTCAAAATTTTCAGAGGCATTCACTGCTACAATCAAGCAAGTTGCAGTGCATTTAGCACTACAGCAACCTGAGATTCATCCTTCTCTATACAGCCTAGGAGAAGCAGCTGATGTTGGAGATGCTCCTCTCTCTGCTCTTCCCTACAAGAACAGGAATCCCACAGTCCTGAACAAGTCAGGGGGGACAGGAGATTTGATTGCTAGAGAGTCAGAGGCACATCTTTGAAGCTTGGCCACATCAAGCACTCCTGTAATGAGTAGCCCCCACAGGCTGTCCAGCTCAGCACCAAGATGAAGTGGCACCTATTAATATGGTGCAATGCATGAATTTGCAGGTTGGTCCTCTCACCTCAGAAGTGTTCCCAGTACATCAACACCAGAGGAATTGTGAGAAACATATCCCAGGAGTAACTCCTTCCTAACATGCCTTTGAATTAAATGAGTTGTTAGCTTTTCCTGCTAAGCCCCTTCCTTCTCTTTAATTATTAGCTGCTAGTGGTTATGTTACATACAGAACTTCTAGAAGTGATTCAGGCCTGGGATGAGCAAGGATATAAGATGACAACTACCATCACCAAGTTCTGCCATGATCTCAAAGAAGCCCTTATTGAAAATTAAACTATTTTCTCTGCACAGGAAATGGGAAAGAGGAGGCAAAGCCTCTAAAATTTGGAACAGAATTTTACAAAAGACAGGGAATCATGGAGGAAACCATTTGGCAACACACAAGAGAAAAGAGCCATCTAAAACTAAGTAAAATTTAATCAGCTGTGCAAAACTAAAATACATTTTCATGCTTTTGAGGGCAAGGAATGTTCCAGGTTATTCGTACTTAGTGTTTATTAGCATTTTTGATAAATCTGCAGGATTTTCACATAATGTTTAAGCCATGATTGCTTTGGATTGAAAGTTACTGATTATCTTGTGAAAGAAAAATTGCCTTGCAGCCTGTGTAAAAGTAAGGCATTTTCATATTTTTTCCTTTTTAAAGCTCTTTTTTTTTTGGCCATTTTTATGCATTACAGCATCACTCCTCTCTACCCATTTTTTTCTGATTCTCAGTTCAACAATAGTAACTGCTTTTCTTTATGCTAAATATCCAGAGTAAGCTACAACATAAAAATGGTTGACTCGATCTATTCTTTGTTGACTGCTCTCAGCTGTGAGCCACATTCTATGACATAAAGCAAAGCTTCTGTATATCACATCATTTAAGAGACAGGGACACAAAATAATTACACTAAAAAAAAAAAAAAAAGAAGAAACAAGACAAAGGGCAAAAAGGCATTACTGGAAAAAAAAAAAAGTGCTTCTAAATGTTTTATTTGACAAATTCAAAAGCTGAAAGAGCCCAAACAAACTCATCTCAAGACTGGCACATGATGCTTCACAGACAAATGTGATAAAAATACTTTTTATGGACTCATGGAAGCCTACTGGGACAGATATGAATTGCTACCCCTGCCAGTCTTCAATCCTAGATTATACTCTTTCATCTGCTTAAAACCTATATATCCCCCAGTCTCTTCAGAGGAAAGCAATATAAATTCCAGCACGTGGGAATGAGCTAAACCAGCCCAAACCACATTATCTCGGAGCACATGCTTCCAAACAGCAACGATGGCACCAGTAGTACACAGCCCACACACGGTGCAACGTGGAGCTGGCAGCTGTCCACCCCAACTGCTGCTGCCAATGGCAGTGCTGGCATAAAGGTGTTTGGTAGCCCCTGTTCTAGCCTGAATGCCAAGTCTTTTGTGGCGTGTCAGATGGACTGTATCACATGCCTAGGTTAATCTTTCATGGGGAGGGAGAGGGGGAGCACCTGGGGTAGGTTACAGTGCAAGGAACAGGGACTGAAACCAGCATCACCTGGAAGTGACCTGGAGATATTAGGTGCTGGCAAGTATCGATTGCAAAGAGATGAAAAAACAAGGACTTATTATAGCTGACACTGTCAAATCTGCACTACAAATTATTTCATTACCTACCTCTATCTCTTAAACCCACACCACTGCTTATTCCCCTTGTAGTGCTCTGTACTGGGCTTCTGCTCAGGACCATCTGAATCCCAAAGGATTCTTCCTCCAGCTCCCTCTTACCAAAGCTCAACACCTGTTGTTTGAAGAAGTGCAAGGCTTTTCCTAACAGTTCCCCCTGTAACTCCAGTTATGCCCCTTCTTCACAGTAGTTTCAGTATTTGTCTGGGCACAAAGTCCTGAGCCCAATTCACACCCCATCACTGGAAGCCTGATAACTTAATAGCGACTCAGTCAAAAAATCAATATTGTTTCAATAATGGTACATAAGATGCCTATCAATGAATGCAGAAAAATTCAAGAGACTAATACCTTCATCTATACCTACAATTAAAATAGCCACGCAGTATCATATGAATACAAATTTTGGGAACTTGCTGATTTTCTGTATCATCTTTTACACTACAGTATATGGTCTTGATGCTGCCACAGAACCGTACATGCACAAATCTTTGCTGCATCAGATTCCTTGGTGAATGAGAACGGCCACATCAAACCCCAGATGAGCCTACTACGTGCTCACATACATGGCATTTTAGAATGACTCCTTAAATGTCTTTTAAAATTCATCTACACTGCATTAAATGTTATGTTGTTATAATTCATAAATTTTGTATTCTCCACGATGCTGCTGAGAATTAATGATCACTATTTATAATCACAAACTATTCTTCATTTAAAGTGAACAAAACAGTGAAAGGTTAAAAATACATCTGGCATTATCAGCAGGTCTGAAATCTTCATTGTAAAGACATTTTAAACAGAGGTAGAAAAACATTTGAAATTAATATCTGCATTTTTCCCTCTGCAATTTACCAACCATGCTGATTTCTGGGGTTTTGTGAAAGACATTTATAGCATACTAATTAATGCCCTATTTTCTGTATTTTAAAGTAAGAAAAATACTTAATGGTGAAGTTATATTCCTCAGTTGTAAATTACAGGAGTTTATACTGGAAGCATGTGCGGCACTTTACATTCAGCACTTCTTAATTTTTTTCTTTTTTTTCTACCTGAATGATAACAATTGCTGTTCTTTCTCCATGAATGCTTTCAGAAATAATTTGCAGCATGCTTGGTGCACAGTACATTACACAGCGGCTTGACTGATATAAACCACAACCAAACTGTTGTGGTCAAGTCTGCAAACCTTGTGAGTAACATTTCTGAACATATAGGAGCAATCTTTCTAAAGAAATGATCAGGAACATAAATGTTTAAGCCTACACAGGATAAAAGCTTCAGGGTCAAGACTTGGTAACACATACTTGAATGTCCTTAATTCCTCTTAACTTTAAGTTAGTTTTGATCATATATCAACAAAATGAAGAACAAAAATGTCATATCTAAAGATATGTTAAAAAATAAATAAGTAAAACCTAATGACTGTCTGATACAAAACTTAAAGCTCATACAAAGGCTTCCCTTGATGTCACAAAACTGTGAACCTTCTGAAAAGTTACTATGGAAAAATTAATTTTGAAACAATTTGATCTTATACTAGCATTTCATACCACAGAAGTGTTCCCAGCATACTAAGCCAAAGTGACTGTATTTTCTGAAGCATACTCTTTTTTCTGATAATTTATTTTATTTTTCTACTTATATGACACTGATCAACCTCACAGATTGTACCTGAAAGGATTATTGTAAAAGGCAGTATCATATTGCTCTTTCTGCACATGTTGAAGAGGGAGCCCATTTCTTTCTGTTCCTAGTTGAAGACAGACTACAATACAGTGATCCAGTTGTGCAGGTATTTTGTACTGGCAGGCTATGAAGAGACTGACACTTGAGAACACTTCATGTTTATTCAATAGAAACTACCTCGCAAAGGATCCAGAATCTCAAATGAAGACTCGTGTCTTTGTACAGTGCTCCTACCACGAAAAACCAAACAGAAAAAACATGCAGAGTCCAGCCAAAAGTCTGCTAGAATATGCAAAAACTTTATGTATCCTGTACCTATATAATGCAGTAATGCTTCAGTTCATGCTGCAGAACTGCAGTCAGTTTCACATTCCTCAGGCACTAGCTGTCTTACTTATCTGAGGTACATCCGATTTCAACCTACACATTCAAAGTTTAGGATGTTTCATGAGGCCCAGCCATTAGAAAACACAAGCAGAAAACAGATACTTACGATGCATGATCAATAGTTACGCTTCGGGACATTATCAGGCCCCATATTCTAAAGCTCAGTTTAGCTAAGAGTTAAACCTGCAAGTTCCAAAACATTATTTCAATTTTCTTTAGAGTATGCAATCCACTTGAAGGCACAGTATGTTACCTCAGTTTCTGGAGTAGGAGATGGAGTAATAGAACCCAGCGATCCTTTCCGTGAGCCTTGGAGATCTGTTGGGGTGGACACAGGACGCTGCCATTGAGTTGTTCCTGTTGGTATGTGCCAGTAGTAGATCCCAGCAATGTCATTGATTTTTTTCCAGCCAGGTGGTAAGTCTGGATCTGTCTGAAATGAATGATCACTCCATATATCTACTGGGAAGAGAGGTAGGGAGGGGGAAGAGGGAAGAAAGGAAATGACTGGATGTTAGTAAGATAGGTGTGGGTCTGCCCCTGCTGCAGGTGGTGCACAGCCGGTACTGCTCTGGCACAGCTCCTGTGTGCATGAATACCAGGAAAACACACTGAGCTATTGAGGCTCAAAGCAAGGTGACAAAGCCTGGTTTGACTTGGTCTATAAAAGGAGGGAAGAAATACACTACTTAGCAAAGAGCTGTTCTAATATGGCATATATCTAACAGCATCATATGAACTAACTCTTCTAATAAGGTTTAGCATCAAGTACTTTAAATCACAGTAAACAAAGAAAATTTTGCAGTTGTCGTGTACTCTTGTCATCTTCCTAACAGCACTTTCTCATCTCAAAGCATGGGAGCAGAGCATGTATTTCTGCTCATCAAAGTCAGCTTATCAAAACCCCAAAGCCCACACATCCATCAAACAACCCCCACTGGGTTTGCTCACAACATCTATAAGACTGATTGTTCAACAAGATGAGAACGAAAGAACTGAGCAATCACTTTGCTCACACCCCGACTGCAACAAATACACTGTTTTCAGTTGTTTTATCATGAGGTAGGAAAAAAATCAAAAATTCATGCAGAGTGGCAACACAAAGATGAAATACTGGCTCTACTGACAAACCTCCAGTAGGTTTGAAGTGTACCAGTAATTCTCATCACAGTTAGAGATAATTCCCAGATTTACCTGGGATTATAGATGCACACGAGAGATGCCACCAGTGGAGTCATTCAGGGACTTTCACTGTCATTCAGTGCCTTTTAGAAAGGCAGGGGCATCACCTATGTGCAAAACAACTGCACCCCAGCAGGGGCAGATACCTTCTGCTGGATACATGCTTTCCAGAGGAAAGCAGAGGGAGCCAGTGCTTCTCTAGACTTCGCAGCTAAACTGCTTTGGTGGGTGTCAATATGCTGTGTGCTATTAATCAGCTGCTATAGTCTACTCCAAGGACCATCCAGCTGCAGGGAGAAACAAGTCCCAGATTGACATTTCCACCAGCACTCGAGCAGAAATGATGAAGGCTGACATCAGTACAGTGAACTGAGCTTGCAAGAAACCCTCCACCAAGAATAAAGGAAGCGTTGTACCAATGACCTGTGGCTCATCTAGTCTATCAAGTCGTTTCCAACCTTCAAAGACAGTCCTCAAAACACCTTCTGTGAACAACAGATGAATAACCTGTTGTTATTATGCACGTGCACACCCACCATAAGCACGGTAACTTGAAACAGCATTTACACGCCATGGCACAAACCAGACTCTTTCTTCTTTCTTCCCCAGAGCCACTTAGAGTTCTTTAAGGTACTGATTTACTGCTTGAGTACTGATCTGCAAAAATTCTGCAGAACTAGACAGTATTACGCTTAAATTTAACAATGAGCCTCACCCATAGCCCAGTATTTGAAATCAGCAGCACCCATATAATCAGTTCTGGAAATCCTCCAATCACCTGAACACCCACTTCCAGATGTCCTCCACTGACTGTAGCCTCTACTACATTCAAGTCCCTCGTTCCTGACTCCAAGGTCTTAACATGTTTTAAAGCCCATTTTTCTACAAACTTGCCCATTTTTGTTTTCCAACTGGACAGCTTGGCTGTACTCTTCCCAACCATATAAAAGGAAAATAATAGCAGACCAATTTCAAGAATTTAACCACAGTACAAAAAAACGTGCATTATCAAGTATCTAGACACCATACTGAAGTATGTGTGGTAAGTCTATAGGTACATGTCGACCAGCACCCCCAGATCCCCTTCCACCAGGCAGCTTTCCTGCCACTCTTCCCTAAGCCTGCAGCATCACCTATGGTGGTTGTGCTGCAAGTGCAGGACCCTGCCCTTGGACTTGTTAAACCTCATGCCATTGATCAACCTGTCCAGATCCCTCCATAGATCTCCCTACTCTCAATCAAATCAACACATCCATATAACTTGGTGTTGTCTGTAAAATTGCTAAGGGTGCCCTTAATCCCCTCATCCAGATCATTGATAAAGATATTAAACAGAAGAAGCTTCAATACTAAGCCCTGGAGAACAACACTTGTGACCAGCCACCAAACCGGTGGGCCAAATCATCCAGGCAATTTTTTATCCAGCAAAGCAGACACCCATCCAGGTTCTGAGCAGCCACCTTCTCCAAAAGAACGCTGTGGGAAATGGTGTCAAAAACTTTAATAAAGTCCAGCTAGAGAACATCCACAGCCTTTAACTCATCCACTAAGCATATCACCTTGTCAAAGAAGGAAGGAAGGTTAGTCAAGCAGGACCTGCCTTTTATAAACCCATACTGAGTAGTCCCGATAACCTGGTTGTCCTGTATGTGCCATACAATGGCACTCAAGATGATCTGCTCAATAACCTTCCCCAGCACTGAGGTTAGACTGACAGGTCTGCAGTTCTCTGGATCCTCCTTCTGGACCTTCTTGTAGATGGGCGTTGCATGTGGTAACCTTCAGCCAACTAGGCTCTCCCTAGTTAGCCAGGACTGCTGATAAATGATGGAAAGTGGCTTGGTGAGCACTTCCGCCAGCTCCCTCAGTACCCTTGGGTGGATCCCATGTGGCCCCACAGACCTGTGTGCATCTAAGTACTGTAGTAGGTCATCGACCACTTTCTCTTGGATTATGGGGGCTTCATTCTCTTCCCCATCCCTGTTGTCCAGCTAGTGGTCCAGGCACTTGGAGGACAGCTAGTCTTACTACAGTTAGCAAAGTGTTATGTTATGGCTGCATTCATATCAATCCACCAATCAGTCCTTTCATACCAGGGGAGCCAACATTCTGTTACTCAGTGTTGTAACAACATGCAGGGAGACCTAAACAGAAATGTCTTCGCAGTAAAAGCAGACAAAACTCACTGCAGAAAGAAAAACGTTAACCCAGAGACTTTAAACAACATCTCTTCTAACTAAATGTTACCAAGGAGAAATTATCTCAAGTATGTGAATGAATACTTGGAAGGAAATCACCTAAAAGAGCTGGCAGTGCTCTGGGATAAGAGAAGAGCTGCATTTTCCACACAAAGCTACTATGAGTTACATCTGCATGAGACGCACACACTGCTACTGTCCCAGCAGTCCTTGCACAGAAGCACTGACCTCAGGCCATCTGATACGCGTGGCTGAACAGGACAACACCAGATTGCATGTTTCCATACTGAAACCCCACTCCTCATGTCAGCTATGCAAACCTACTTGGGGAAAAAAAATTTAAAAAAAAAAAATCACACTTGTGTCCCCCAGACCCTTTGCCAACACACCTCAGAACTGGACGAACTGGCAGGGATAACCTTTTCACAGGTTGTGATTTCCTACTGTCACGAACTGGGTTTGCAGACTGTTCTAACAGATGAAAGCACTCAGTGTGCAAGTCAAAAGCAATGAACCATCACAAGAGATACCAACACACAAAAAAAAGGTATGAGTCAACACACAAAATCAGACAGGACAGATGGATGCACCTGTGGCATCAGAGACCTACTACAGGACACCAATGTTTTTTCTTTATTTGGATATGGAATTACATGTAGTAAAATAAATTTCCTCTGAATTTGAAAGACCTCGTTTCAATGGCATGACATTGAGTAAAATATCCAGTTTTTGTTGCACAGGCAAGTGTAAGAACGGTCCTTTATTAGTGCCGTGTTTGGTGCCCAGAACAAAATGAAGGCACCACACTGATACATATATGCTGCTACATTCAGGACTTTTCAGTCCTAGTCCTTCTGCAGAAAAAAAAAGGTACAGCCTCAAGATTGGGGAGAAAAGAAGTAGGTATCTGTACATGAATACAATTCTGTTGACTTCACATCAAATAGCTTGAAAGAAGAAATAGAACAGGAAAATAGAATTTAACACACCGGACTTCTTAATCTGAAACCAAGAACTCCTCTTGTGTCTGTAAGGTTTTAGATGCAAGAACATTACATGGAAACTATTTCTTCTGGTCTGTGGATGACTAAGCCCATCATGCTTCCTCAGTGGCAGACAATCTATAGTGAGCAGGAACTTTTCTCCAAATCCCTCCTAGTCATCCTCAGGAGGTGAGCCTGTACCTGGCATCTCCTGATCTCTTCCATGTTCCTCTTTAGTGATCTGTTGATGAAAGGTCAATGAACGAGGACCATATGATTACTCATAAAGCTTCTGGGTTTGAAAGTATTGTTGGTCTGGTAATACGGAAAGTATGGCTTACTGCAGAAATTTAGAGTACAGTTCACAAAAAGAATGCACCCTTTTTGTATTGGGGTTGGTTTACCTGCCATGTGTATTACAGTAAAACACAACTTCCTGAAAGGCTCTGTGGTAAGGCATTTTTACACTAAATGCATCAAGCAACAGGAGTAAGAAAACCAATACTGAACTAGAATAAAAGAGCTGCTGTAGCTCAACTGTATGAGAAAGCAGACACTGGGTTTCTTTAAGAAACTTGGATTCATATTCTCTGTAATAACTTGTCTTTCTACATCGAGGAGCAGTCAATTTCTTACCAGCAGGAAGACTTATTTAAGATGTAACAGATTCAAAAGCCTGCAGAGGAACAAGGCATGTATCTACCCAGGCCTCATGCAGATTCACACACCACTGCAGACCTTCAACAGCTGCCTCTTCTGGAGAAAGTCCTTACTGAACGGGGTGGCTCCGCTGCCTACATACACTCTGTGGTTGAAGTCCAAAGTCAGCCCCCTTCCCAGGAGACTGGGCAGTCAAGGCTGCAGCTAACCCTTCACATCACCTTCTACCCCCGTCCACGCAGGGGGTGCACAGGAGCCATGGCTAGCAGGGCAGGCCGGCTCTCATCCCAGGTCTGCCCGTGCTGGTAAGTCCTCATCAGCAAGCTGCTACCTGGAAATCTGCCTAATCTAAGTGTGAGCTCTCACCACCCCACTTCCAAAACGCTACCAGCTTAAAGGTCAACACAGTTACAAGTTCACAGCAGGTCTTCTGCAGGCAGATTTATGTGAAAGGAGAGGTGGCAAAGAGAGGGCATATTTTTCAGCTGGGGTTTTGTCTCACTAAAGACAGATGACTAAAGCCCTGTCATACTGGGGGAAGATACCCAAACAGGCCATTCATGGGAATGCTATTATGGAAGAAACAGGCCAATTCTGTGGGAAAAAAAAGACAATAAAAGAGAAGTGGTAGAGGATTTTGAGGACCAAACTGGAAGGTTACATAAAAACATGCAAGATGTGACTTACGACAAGAAGCTAACTTCATCTGAGGAAAACTGAAAAACAGAGTGGACTTCACTGGGCTTTCCTGCCTCCATCACCTTCCTGTGCCAGGACCTTACAGGTCCCTCCAGAAACCAGATCTTTCCCCCATACCGCTTGCTTAGAGTTGGTGCCATTGTCCCTTCCTACAGGGTCCAACATGACTGGGCACAGGGCTGCTCCCCATGACTCTTTGGCACTGGTCTCTGCAGAATTCAGAGAGCAATCTGCTTGCTGCACCCCACCATGCAGACTGCTTCATCTCTTCAGAGACGCAGCAAGACAGTGATGACAGGAACATTTTTAAAAGACTAGGAAAATGATGAAAAAAAACAAATCAGAAGTGAGAACTCAAGTGGAGGGTAGAACCTGCAGTGCTTTACCATTCCCATTTAAAAACAAACAGGGAATGTATGTTAGTAATTCCTCTTTTAAAATTAAAGAACTAACTCATAAAAAGCCAGTAAGGCTTTAGAAAAGTATCAAAGAAATATATTTTTTTTTAAAAAAAGGCATAAGTAGTTGCTTCATTTTTTTAATAAATGTACAAAGCAGTGAAACAGTTTGAAGAGATTCCCATGATGAAGTCACCTGATCTAGTTTCCTCAGATGCCTGTGAAATGCTGGTATTTTTCAGACAAAAGCATTGCTAAATGGTTGTGTCTGAAGTTTTGTCTGAATGGCTGAAACACAGAGCTTGTAATAAAAAAACAAAACCCAAAACAAATACAGCCTTCATCTCAGTATCATTACAACTGAGGGGTGCAGTTAAAAATTCAAAAGTACTGGAAAACTCAAGTTTGTTACACAAAATGAAACTATTAATTCACTTTTTTGAAACTACTAGCAACAGAGACATACCTCCACAAAACAAACAGCCAGGTTCAGCTGGTAATTCTGGCTAGGAAAGCTTCGTGAACACATTCTGTATTCTAAAGAAGACAGAATAAAGCCCATATAATGTAATATATTGCTGTTTGTAACGCCCTTCTCCAAATGTCAGCCTCTGCAAATTAGCTGATACAGAGCAGTGATAAATTGAATGCTGTAGCTTATAGTTCAATTATGGTTTGGCACAATAATTAAAAATTTCAGTAAATACATTTTTATTTCAAGTTTAAATTATTTTACTATCTGAGGCTGATCTAGGAAAATGTTACAATATTGAAAAGAGAAGGTAATAACATTGAATTCACTAAAAAGCACAAGTAATTTGTCACCAAGCTCTTTGGCAAAACTAGTAATTCTATCACTTATTTTATTACTGTTTCAGGGGAAAGTAATCAAATTGCTACCATTATGAATCACTCTTCAGCTCTTGTTCAGTTAAACAGAAATTAAAACTACAGCATTCAG